CAGGTGGCACTTGCTGGGCATCAGTTCCTGCCCGTTCCTGCTGGGCCATTGCTGGGCCCCCCCGAGCAGAGCCTGGGCCATCCTCTGCCCCCTCCTGGAGCAAGTCAATAATGCCAACACGATCCCAGCAGAGGCAGAAAACTGGAATAGTTTATTTGGACTCACAAGTTCATTTTTAAAGGTTCAGGGTTTACATATTTAACATATTCATAAGGAGGCTGGGGTTATTCTAAACAGGGGTTTTCACAGGGGTGACATCAAGGGAAAACCCAGGTTAACCCATTTGGGGTCCCAGGAATAACCTCATAGGAAAAACCCTACTTGGGGGATTTTCCAGGGGGGATTAGATATTGGGCAAGGGATACAGAGGATACACATGCAAAAAGGGGAGAACACAATGGGTTTTATGCAGAGGTCTGATGAGATCAGGGCATGGTTTCTCCAGGCTTGGGCAGGACATTCCAAACCCGTGACATCCATGGATCCTTGGCTGGACTCTGGATGGAGGTTTTTTCCCCAGTCTCTGTCAGCCCAAGGCTTTGTTTAAACTTAGCAGTTTTCCTTTTTCTCACATCCAAATTTTTGGAATCCAACACCCTCCCTGCAGGCCCTGCCAGCCCTTGGGGAGGTCCCCTCTGGGTGTCCCCTCTGGAGGCTGAACAGCCCCAGCTCCCTCAGAGATGCTCCAGGCCCTTCATCATCTCCATAGGAGAATCATCTTCCAGGATCTCCATGATTTCCTCATCCAGAGGAGCCCAGAGCTGGACAAAGCATTCCAGATGTGCCTCCCAGGGCTGAGCAGAGGGGCAGGATCCCCTCCCTGACCTGCTGATAACCCTCTTCCTAAAGCCCCTCAGGTTGGGGCTGTGCTTTCTTGTGCCAGGCTTTCTGTTGGCCTTGTGCTTTCTTTGGCCAGGNGAGATGCTCCAGGCCCTTCATCATCTCCATAGGAGAATCATCTTCCAGGATCTCCATGATTTCCTCATCCAGAGGAGCCTAGAGCTGGACAAAGCATTCCAGATGTGCCTCCCAGGGCTGAGCAGAGGGGCAGAATCCCCTCCCTGACCTGCTGATAACCCTCTTCCTAAAGCCCCTCAGGTTGAGCTGTGCTTTCTTGTGCCAGGCTTTCTGTTGGCCTTGTGCTTTCTTTGGCCAGGCAGGAGCAGAATAAGACTTGGAAATCATTCCTTAAGCACCTTGTGGTCTGGAATGGATTTTTTCCAGCCTGCTTTTGAGCCTGCACTATCACCTGAGTGTAACTAAGCCCCAACCCAAGGTTCTTGCTTAGCACTACAAGCCCAAGCTAAGCCCCAGGTCCCTCTGTCCTCACTGATTACCAGGGAAGCTCCAGTGGCTTAAGTGGATTTATAGTTTGGATTTATAGTTCCCCAAACCTGCAAACATTTATCCACCTTCTCAGTGAAACAGAGATGAATAATCCCCTGGTGCTGGGTGTTTGAGTTCCTCAGAGCAATGAATATAAATTGCCCCCCTTTCAACCGGGCCGGGGCTGACACCGTGTGCAGGCAGCTGCATTCTCCCAGGAGAAGGGAGATTTCCTTGTTTTCCCAGATAAATCAATTGACTTTGCTGGAAGAGTAAACTC